TTCGATCAACCTTAACTTGGTGATACTTCCTCAATTCCCAACTTGGAAGACGAGCAATGTCTTCTAAATGTCCATGTCTAGTTGCAGGGGGTTCGTTTAAGCAGTAAGGCCAGAGGGGGTGTGGTATATGGACAATATCCCACTGCTAAGGGCTGTTCTTACGCACGACGCAACGCAGAGTGCCTGGATACAGCCCTTAGCCGTGGTATATTGGCCATATACCACAAACCCCTGAGGTGCCTTATTGCTATTATAAACTGGTTACCAACGTAATTACTAGAGTAAAAATAAATTGTTTTGTCATACCTGTGGTATATGGTCTGATATACCACAACTTTCAGCCGATCAGCATTCAGGGCTCGAACCACCCAGTTTATAATTGAATTTATAAACTGGGTAGTTTGGGTCCTGGATGCTGATTGGCTGAAAGCCGTGGTATATCAGACAATATACCACAGGTATGATGCAAAACGACTTGTTTACTGTTCTAATTATGTTGATAACTTGTTTTATAATAGCAATAAGGCACCTGAGGGGTTTGTGGTAAATTGCCAATATACCAAGGCTAATGGCTGTTCTTAGCCGTGACGCAACGCAGAGTATACCACACCTCCTCAGGCCTTATTGCTTAATTAGAAAATGCTCCATTATTACATTTAATTCATTTTTTGTCCATGAAGTAATCCAACAATGTGTACACACCCATCTTATCTACTTCAAATCTTCTCTCATTGATGGTTGTCATGAGTTACCCCCAGGGGTGAAAGTAGGTTTTAATTTCTTCCTGGTACGGGACCTCCTATGTGTGCATGTGCCAAAAAAAATTCTGAGCCTAATCATAGTTACATTATAAATTATAATCCCTATTAATTCAATAGGATCTCTGTGGGCCTAGTCATAAATATTAGTAATTTAACTTTTTAAATGTATGACCTTTTATTGTGGTATAAACACAACCAGTCATGATGTTTTCATCTGATTGTCAAACTCACTTCAAATGGCTCCTTTAATAGGCTACCAGCACACATTCATCGACTCACAACATATTTCCAGCCTCTAAACACTGGTGACTGGAAAGAGACATCTGTTACACAAAATACCAAAAAGTGTAGTGACATTTGGTGGTTGTCATTAGGCCAGAATTTATGCAACTTCTGCTGTCCAAGCACGTCTCGGTACCGGCCACTTATCTCCTCCTTGGCAAAATGTCAGTGTTCTCATCAAACCTCATTGTAGGCTATACCACCGGTTTTCATGTCCATTCGCTCATTTCTCATACCTCTGACATGCAGTAATGATAAATAATGGTGTAATAGCCTACAGTTTTCCTGACATTTTGTTTTATTTATTGTGATGGGCTCATGTTTTACGGGTACGGCGTACCCCCACTATTTATTTTGCCGTACCGGACCGTACCGCCTTACTTTCACCCCTGGTTACAACAGCCACAAAGTAATAATTGGCTATAATGTAAATGATGTAGAACAACAATTTGCTTTTTGGTCTTAATTTAAGGTTAGGCATAATGTTAGCATTGTAGTTAGGGTTAGGTTTGAAATCAGATTTTAAGAAGATAAATGGTTATAAAAAATAGGTGGGGGTGAGCCATAATTTTGACTGTGGTGACTAGTGACGACCCTCATTTAACGAGACCATTGAATGTCATCATGACATGCGGCCTTTAACGTCAATTATCTAAAAACGGGTAAACTCAGATTTGTTTCATATTTACATATGTTGTAGCTTAGACCCTACTTTACCTCTGAGGTTTTTGTGTTGTGCCGCCATCAGTTGAGACAGAACATGCTCTTGTCAGGTTGCACAGATAGTATTATGTGTTGACTTAGGAGGATGTTCCTCTCTGTCTCCCTGTGCCTCCTGTTCCCATATGGGCCCAGTTTGGCCCGCATACAGTGCATTCGGAAAGTATTCAGACCCCTTCACTTTTTCCACATTTTGTTACGTTACAGGCTTATACTGAAATGGATATTGTTTTTTCCCTCATCAATCTACACACAATACCCCATTATGACAAAGAAAAAAAACGGAAATATTACATTTACATAAGTATTCAGACCTTTACTCAGTACTTTGTTGAAACACCTTAGGCAGTGATTAGTATGAAAAATGTATGCACTCACTAACTGTAAGTCGCTCTGGATAAGAGCGTCTGCTAAATGACCAAAAAATTAAATGTAAAAAAATTACAGCCTCGATTATTCTTGGGTATGACGCTACAAGCTTGGCACACCTGTATTTGGGGAGTTTCTCCCATTCTTCTCTGCAGATCCTCTCAAGCTCTGTCAGGTTGGATGGGGAGCGTTGCTTCACAGCTATTTTCAGGTCTCTCCAGAGATGTTCGACCGGGTTCAAGTACGAGCTCTGGCTGGGACACTCAAGGACATTGAGACTTGTCCTGAAGCCACTCCTGCGTTGTCTTGGCTGTGTGCTTAGGGTCGTTGTCCTGTTGGAAGGTGAACCTTCGCCCCAGTCTGAGGTCCTGAGTGCTCTGGAGCAGGTTTTCATTAAGGATCTCTCTGTACTTTGCTCTCTTCATCTTTCCCTCGATCCTGACTAGTCTCCCAGTCCCTGCCGCTGAAAAACATCCCCACAGCATGATGCTGCCACCACCATGCTTCAACATAGGGATGGTGCCAGGTTTCCTCCAGATGTGACGCTTGGCATTCAGACCAAATAGTTCAATCTTGGTTTCATCAGACAAGAGAATTTCTCATGGTCTGAGAGTCCTTTAGGTGCCTTTTAGCAAACGCCAACCGGGCTGTCGTGTGCCTTTTTATTGAGGAGTTGCTTCCGTCTGGCCACTTTACCATAAAGGCCTGATTGGTGGAGTGCTGCAGAGATGGTTGTCCTTCTGGAAGTTTCTCCCATCTCCACAGAGGATCTCTGGAGCTCTGTCAGAGTGACCATCGGGTTCTTGGTCACCTCCCTGACCAAGGCCCTTCTCCCCCGATTGCTCAGTTTGTTCAGGTGGCCAGCTCTAGGAAGAGTCTTGGTGGCTCCAAACTTAATCCATTTAGGAATGGTGGAGGCCACTGTGTTCTTGGGGACCTTCAATGATGTAGACATTTTTTGGTACCCTTCCCCAGATCTGTGCCTCGACACAATCCTGTCTTGGAGCTCTACGGGCAATTCCTTCGACCTCATGGCTTGGCTTTTGCTCTGACATGCACTGTCAACTGTGGGAGCTAATATAGACAGGTGTGTGCCTTTCCAAATCATGTCCAATCAATTGAATTTACCACAGGTGGACTCCAATCAAGTTGTAGAACATCTCAAGGATGATCAATGGAAACAGGATGCACCTGAGCTCCATTTCGAGTCTCACAGCAAAGGGTCTGAATACTTATTTAAATAAGGTATTTCTGTTTTTTATTTTTTATAAATTTGCTAAGATTTGCAAAAATCTCTAAAAACCTGTTTTCGCTTTGTCATAATGGGTATTGTGTGTAGATTGATGAGGGGGGAAAAAACTATTTAATCCATTTTAGTATAAGCCTGTAACGTAACAAAATGTGGAAAAAGTGAAGGGGCCTGAATACTGTACTGTACATCAGACTTAGCTTTGTATGTAAACTCTTAACGGTAGAGTTTCCAGAAATATTAGACTATTACTTTAGTGTTTTGACAGTTGCACACATACACATAAACACCTCATTGTTGGGTGTGGAACCCTTCAACCCAAGACTTCACACAGGAATGTTTTGATCTCAGGAGCTGCTTATATTTAGGCTTTCTGGTGCAGTGGTTGATGTTGAAGACCTGAGAAGGTTAGTAGTTGGACTGAAACCACATCTTCCAACAGATGGTAAAGTAGGTGCTAGTAAGTCGCTTCACCAATCACAGGGCCGGAGGACACACAGTAAGGGTTACGTAAAGAGAGGTGTGGCTTGTGACCAGGGGATATTATGATGATAAACGGGTATTGCTGCGTGTTGGTTGCATTTCTATTTTATTCAACCTGCGTATCTTGTTCCTCCAGGATTTCCCAATTTTGTGTCAGACATGTTTGGGGGACAATCCATACATCCACATGGTAAATAGTTAAACTTAGTCTTAATTTGGTAAGATATTTTAGCTGCTAGTTTGCATCTGTCATTTATACTGAGCAAAAATATAAACGTAACATGTTAAGTGTTGGTCCCATGTTTCATGAGGTGAAATAAAAGATCCCAGAAATGTTCCATACTCACAAAAAGCTTTTCTCGTAAATTTCGTGCGCAAATTAGTTTACATCCCTGTTAGTGAGCATTTCTCCTTTGCCAAGATAATCCATCCACCTGACAGATTAAACAGCATGATCATTACACAGGTGCACCTTGTGCTGGGGACCATAAAAGACCACTCTAAAATGTGCAGTTTTGTCACATAACACAATGCCACAGATGTCTCAAGTTGCAATTGGCATGCTGACTTCAGGAATGTCCACCAGAGCTGTTGCCAAATAATTGAATGTTAATATCTCTACCATAAACTGCCTCCAATGTAGTTTTCGAGAATCTGGCAGTACGTCCAACCGGCCTCACAACTGCAGACCACGTGTAACCACGCCAGCCCAGGACCTCCACATCCAGCTTCTTCACCTATGGGATCTTCTGAGACCAGCCAACCGGACAGCTGATGAAACTGGGTTTGCAGAACCAAATAATTCTGGGGATGTATCTGTCCGTCCTATTGCTCCTCCCCCTGACCTCGTCCAGTCAGAAACCGTCCCGGGAAGCTCATCTGCATGCTCGTATGACCAACAAATGAATATGTATTCCCAGTCATGTGAAATCCATAGATTAGGGCCTAATTAATTTATTTCAATTGACTGATTTCCTTATATGAACTGTAACTCAGTAAAATCTTTGACATTTTTGCTTTTTATATTTTTGTTCAGTGTAGGATTCAGGAGAACTGACTGGCCTGGTAATAGGAGTGTGCTGTTTGGTTTATATCAAGCTTCGGAAGCCTCCATTATATGCTGTTTTCTTTGACAGACCAAAGAGAAGTATGGGAAAGAATGCAAGGTAAGATACCATTTTGTTGGTGCTTTTAATTCCTAAATCCCAAGACATTTGAATAGTGTATTGTCTTTATTATATCAAAACTAATGAACATATCTCACCTCCTTCCTTAGATATGTTCCCTTCCCTTCACTGTGTTCCGCTGGTGTCCAGGAATGAGGAGGCGCTTCAAGAAGACAGAGGTGTGTCAGACCTGCAGCAAGATGAAGAACGTCTGTCAGACCTGGAGTATGGTACGTCATAGATGCATTACCTGCACCACCTTACTACCTGTTCAAGCCATGGCTACTTTGTCATGACTAGAGCTGCCTGTAGGAGTACCAAATCTAAGATGTTAACCCCTCCGTTTTACCAATCCAGGTCCGAGACACCGGGCTGGACATCAAGGATGACGTGCCGAAGTCAGACGTAAACAAGGAGTACTACACATAGAATGTAGAGAGAGGGGTATGGAGGAGGAGAGGAGGCTGCAGCCCTGTTATTTCTGTAATCACAAATTCAACAGCCAGTGTTTTCCCCTGTTACCTCCCTCATCTCCCCGAATCCCTGTGTCCCCAGATAGGGAACTCTGACGAGACACGGCTGGTGGGTCTCCTTTGTAAGGTCCCCAGCTCCAGTGAGATGCTGCTTAAGCTGGCCGTACTACAAGAGGAATAGACTCCACATCTGCTCCTTCTGGGTGAAGGGAGAGTGGAAGAGAGGAGAGGAGTGTCCCTACAGGTGAGAATGCCATTAAACGATAGCTTTATCTCTTTAAGCGCTACGGCTGGGTCTTATTTGTACAGTCCAATGACTAAATACAGCCCTGGCTACCTCCTGTCTGTATGATTTGTAATGTCGCTGAAATTGCACTTGATGGTGCTGTTGAGCAATAAATCAACCTACATTGACTGTGGACAACTCTTCCTTCTCGCTCTCTCTCTCTACACCCCCAGGCACGAGAGGCCCACAGACCCAGACGATCTCCTGGCAGACCAGAACATTAAGGACCGTTACTATGGTATCAACGACCCTGTGGCTGACAAGCTGCTGAAACGAGCCTCCACCATGCCCCAACTGGATACGCCCGAGGACAAGACCATCACTACACTCTACGTAGGGGGGCTGGGAGATACCATCTCAGGTGCTGAGCTCAGGTAGGGGTCGGATTGATTTGAAATTGTTTTTTTTTGCTTCCAAAAATATCAGACACAGATAATTTTTTCGGCAGTTTCAACGGTCTGTGACAGGTGGTTGTGGTGTGCTCCTACAGGAATCACTTCTACCAGTTTGGGGAGATCTGGACCACCACCATCGTCCAGAAGCAGAAGCCTTCATCCAGTTTGCCACACGGCAGGCGGCTGAGCTTGCCGCTGGGAAGTCCTTCAACAAGCTCATCATCAACGGACGCAGGCTCACCGTCAAGTAGGGCAGGTAAGAGGTCAAGGGTTACGAGGAGAGGAGATCAACAGAAAGTACTGTATGTCCCTCCTTTCTAACCAGATGGGGACAACCCTGTAGATGGGGCAGAATGTAAGACTTGGTATTTGGGCTCCATGTGACTGTCACCCTAGTCATTCTGTACTGTAATGAGTTGTGACTGACCAGGTCCCAGGCAGCCAGAAGGAAGGAGGCCATCAAAGACTGGGTCAGTGAGATGGGAACCAGACTGGACCCTTTACCAGGACTGCCTAGAGGTGAGTGTCTGATATCTGGGATGCATTGAGAGGGTGTGTGTGTGTGTGTGTGTGAGAGCCTGTGTATGTGCAAGTCTATCATTGTTCCTGTTCTGACTGTCTTCTCTCTCCCACAGCTCTCCCCCCACCTCCTGCTCTGGAAGAGCACACTCCTACTAACTACTTCAACCTGGAGCCTGGTACCTCTCCTAATGTCATGAACATCTCCCTATCTCCTGGTACCTCTCCTAATATCATGAACGTCTCCATACTTCCTTGTACATCTCCTAATGTCATGAACATCTCCCTACCTCTTGGTACATCTCCTAATGTCATGAACATATCCCTACCTCCTAGTACCTCTCCTAATGTCATGAACATCTCCCTACCTCCTGGTACATCTCCTAATGTAATGAACATATCCCTGACCCCCACTACCTCCAGGTATCAGTCTCACCTTTGTCCTGTGATGGTTAGGGGAAACTGCTGGCCATACTTCTGCTATATCACTGAGCTACTTCTGTGTTGACCCTGCTATGTGTCTGTTGTGCGTATCACTTATCCCCTTCATGTTTTGGTGGTCCTATGTTTCACATGGGTTTGATGGGTCTCCCTCCTCCCCATCCCATGGGTATGAGACCCCCAGGACACATCCATTACCCTTCCCAGGACCCCCAGCGCATGGGCGCCCATGCTGCCAGTCATAGCAACTAGTTGCCATGGCGATACTTCGCTATGCCAACCAGCTCTGTGGCCGAGATAATTGCTCTGGGCAGAAGTTGCCCTTAGGCACAGATCTTGGATCAACTTACCTTCCACCAATCCTCATCATAGTAATTAGGGGAAAAAACACCTAACTGACCTGGGAACTGCTTCTAGGAGCAACGTCATCATCCTACGTCTTGAGGTTCACAAGGGTGTTACAAAATGGCTGACCACTCACTCAGTTTAACCATATCTCAGCAGTGGATCTGAGTTAACGGTGAACAACTAAAGGTGTGAAGTCAAATCCAGCTCAATCCGGGAATTTGGTATCATAAGTGCGTTCTTTTAAGTTTTTAGGGCTACTGTGTTTTGTGCGTGGTGGTGCATAATGTAATATCTATACCCACCCGTCATTGATCAGTGTATTGAGTGTACATCAGAAGAGTTGTTGAAATGTGCAAAGCATCCTGCAGAGTCGATCTCCTGAAAGGACCATTTTTAGATTCTTATTCATATTATGGATTTGTTTCTCATTTTGAAACAAGTTTCTTTTTCCACAACATCATTCAGTTTATTATTGAAATGTTTCACATATGTTGTCCGCTTATGCCATTAAAACAAGTACTCTATAATTTACATTTAAATTAATCAATATCACACTATCAGTCCTTTATTAACAGGGGGGGGGGTCAGAAAGAGGGAGGGAAGAGTGAACGGGGGATGGAAGGGAGGCAAGTGTTGAGAAATCGGGGAGTGAGGATGGGTAAGAGGGCGTTTGGATGAAAGAAAGGACAGGGAAAGAAGTGACATCATCTCTCCCCTCAGCTGGCCTTTGTTGGCCTGGGCTCAGCTCTGATAAGGAACTGTTGATTGATTCAGAAGATCTCAGTTAACCTCCACACAGGCCTACCCACAGCTCTCATCAGTAAACCATCTTACCATTCACAAGTCTTTTCCTTATGGCACTGACTCAATAACAGAGGGATCACTCGAGGTAGAAGTTGCGCCTAACCCCAGATCTACCCTTATCCTAACATAACCATTAAATAGATTAGTCAGTATTTAGGGGCAACTTCTACCTAACCTGGATCGGTCATCTTTGAATCCAGAGGGATGAGGATGGGTAATAAGAGCAGATTCATCTTCAGTCTTTTAGCCTGTGATGTCACAAAGGTCACGGGAAGTTTGAAGGTCATAGGTGAGCAGTGGGCCAATCACAAGTCGGTGGATTCAGGGGAGTAGTCGTGACCCCATCCCCGTGGTGCTCTGTTGAAGTTGGGCCGTTTACACATGCGGTCCAGGGTCGTACCAGGGAGGTGCTGGGAGTCCAACAGCTCGAACCCCATCATTGGGATCACCCTCTTACTCTGCTGCTGTGGGCCTCCAAAAGGCTTGGCTGCTCTGAGAGAGAGAGAGAGGGATGAATTTGTTATGAGTGTATATTTGAGGAAGGGAATGACTGGGTATATCCAAGCTTGCATAACCTCAAATACATTCGCTGGGTAGCAGATCTTTCTCACTCAACAGTCAGGTCTAAAGTAGAAGCTTTTAGATGTTACGTGATGCCCAGTCATCCACAAAGTTCTCCTCTAATGACCCTGCCTGGCCTGGACTAGCGACCTTTTAGGTCAGAAATAATCAACATCTGTTGGGAATTCAGGAAGAAACATTAATAGGAATAATTTGACTATAGATGGAGCGCCCTTCTTCTTCCCAGTTGGCCTAGACTCAATTAAACCCACATATCTCGTTAATTAAAGGAGTAAACCAATCCATCCATGTGTGCTTCAGTTACTGAATGACTAAGCACCACATGAGTGACAGTGGACTAATGAAGTGTGAAGTTTAGCCTTTATTCTGGGAGTAGCCTCACACTGTGTGTGCCAGGGTAAGATGAGCCCCTTCGTGCGCCATCGGTCTTTAAGTGGCTGACCCCTCCCCCCGCGTTAAAATAGCCAAATGCCGGAAAGCCACAGTCCAAGGAGGTGCGAGCCAGAGGCGGGGTTACTTTTCAAAGGGAGTGGAAACATGGATGGGCTCCACCATTTAAGATATAATTGTGTTGTTAATTTGATAGCATGCTTCGGTCATCTGGGGCTTTATTTGAAGATGGGGGGGGGGGATGGGCGATCACTAAGCCTGCGCTAAACATGCTTTAAACCTCAGCCTGAGCCATGTTCACTTACTTTGTTGAGTGGGGTCTTGAATTGGTTTTCTTTCCAAAGAAAATGTCATGCATAATATTGTCCTGCCTTTGAAGTGAAGTCCTCAGAGGTCCTTTAGTCTAGTCTAGTTGTTGTCAGGGTTACATCTCTAGTTAGCGGGCCGGGTCTCTACATTTGTGACCTGGCTGCACCTGTTGTTGTCAGGGTTACATCTCTAGTTGGTGGGCTGTAGTGTAGCCCCATGTGGGTTAGTGAGGTGATGAGACTCACCTGTTGAAGCACCTGTAGTTGGCGGGCTGTAGTGTGGCCACCAGTGGGGGCTGGGGGCTGAGCATCGACAGGAGCTTGTCACTTTCACCCAGGGCTTCCCTCCAGGGGGAACAGTAGGACCTGGTTGTCAGGTTGAACTTCTCACAGGGGATCTCCTTCAGGGGGCCCCCGTAGCCTGAGGTTAAAGGTCAGATTAGACTTAGACAGTCCCTGAAAGTGCTTAGGGCTTACACATCTACATAAACTTGTTTGATCTGATGTCAGTCCTGGCTACAATAGAAAGTGTTAAACTTTGTGTCATTCCAGCACAACAAACAAGGCTTAGCTGGCTGTCAAAGACTAACCTAGTGTCAGATCAGGACATGGTTACCCTAAATAACCTAGTGTCAGGTCAGGACATGGTTACCCTAAATAACCTAGTGTCAGGTCAAGACATGGTTACCCTAAATAACCTAGTGTCAGGACATGGATATCCTGACTAACCTAGTGTCTGGTCAGGACATGGTTACCCTGACTAACCTAGTGTCAGGTCAGGACATGGTTACCCTGACTAACCTAGTGTCAGGTCAGGACATGGTTACCCTGACTAACCTAGTGTCAGGTCAGGACATGGTTACCCTGACTAACCTAGTGTCAGGTCAGGACATGGTTACCCTGACTAACCTAGTGTCAGGTCAGGACATGGATATCCTGACTAACCTAGTGTCTGGTCAGGACATGGTTACCCTAAATAACCTAGTGTCAGGACATGGATATCCTGACTAACCTAGTGTCAGGTCAGGACATGGATACCATAAATAACCTAGTGTCAGGACATGGATATCCTGACTAACCTAGTGTCAGGTCAGAACATGGTTACCCTGACTAACCTAGTGTCTGGTCAGGACATGGATATCCTGACTAACCTAGTGTCAGGTCAGGACATGGTTACCCTAAATAACCTAGTGTCAGGACATGGATATCCTGACTAACCTAGTGTCAGGTCAGGACATGGTTACCCTGACTAACCTAGTGTCTGGTCAGGACATGGATATCCTGACTAACCTAGTGTCAGGTCAGGACATGGTTACCCTGACTAACCTAGTGTCAGGTCAGGACATGGATATCCTGACTAACATAGTGTCAGGACATAGTTACCCTAAATAACCTAGTATCAGTACATGGTTACACTAAATAACCTAGTGTCAGGACATGGATATCCTGACTAACCTAGTGTCAGGTCAGGACATGGATATCCTGACTAACCTAGTGTCAGGTCAGGACATGGATATCCTGACTAACCTAGTGTCAGGTCAGGACATGGTTACCCTAAATAACCTAGTGTCAGGTCAGGACATGGTTACCCTAAATAACCTAGTGTCAGGACATGGATATCCTGACTAACCTAGTGTCAGGACATGGATACCCTAAATAACCTAGTGTCAGGTCAGGACATGGATATCCTGACTAACCTAGTGTCAGGTCAGGACATGGTTACCCTAAATAACCTAGTGTCAGGTCAGGACATGGTTACCCTAAATAACCTAGTGTCAGGACATGGATATCCTGACTAACCTAGTGTCCGGTCAGGACATGGATACCCTAAATAACCTAGTGTCAGGACATGGATATCCTGACTAACCTAGTGTCAGGTCAGGACATGGATATCCTGACTAACCTAGTGTCAGGTCAGGACATGGTTACCCTAAATAACCTAGTGTCAGGTCAGGACATGGTTACCCTAAATAACCTAGTGTCAGGACATGGATATCCTGACTAACCTAGTGTCTGGTCAGGACATGGATATCCTGACTAACCTAGTGTCAGGTCAGGACATGGTTACCCTAAATAACCTAGTGTCAGGTCAGGACATGGTTACCCTAAATAACCTAGTGTCAGGACATGGATATCCTGACTAACCTAGTGTCCGGTCAGGACATGGATATCCTGACTAACCTAGTGTCCGGTCAGGACATGGATATCCTGACTAACCTAGTGTCCGGTCAGGACATGGATACCCTAAATAACCTAGTGTCAGGACATGGATATCCCGACTAACCTAGTGTCTGGTCAGGACATAGTTACCCTAAGTAACCTAGTGTCAGGACATGGATATCCTGACTAACCTAGTGTCCAGTCAGGACATGGATATCCTGACTAACCTAGTGTCAGGTCAGGACATGGATATCCTGACTAACCTAGTGTCAGGACATGGATATCCTGACTAACCTAGTGTCAGGACATGGATATCCTGACTAACCTAGTGTCAGGTCAGGACATGGTTACCCTGACTAACCTAGTGTCAGGTCAGGACATGGATATCCTGACTAACCTAGTGTCTGGTCAGGACATGGATATCCTGACTAACCTAGTGTCAGGTCAGGACATGGATACCCTGACTAACCTAGTGTCTGGTCAGGACATGGTTACCCTGACTAACCTAGTGTCTGGTCAGGACATGGATACTCTGACTAACCTAGTGTCAGGTCAGGACATGGATACCCTGACTAACCTAGTGTCAGGTCAGGACATGGTTACCCTAAATAACCTAGTGTCAGGTCAGGACATGGTTACCCTAAATAACCTAGTGTCAGGACATGGATATCCTGACTAACCTAGTGTCCGGTCAGGACATGGATATCCTGACTAACCTAGTGTCCGGTCAGGACATGGATACCCTGACTAACCTAGTGTCTGGTCAGGACATGGTTACCCTGACTAACCTAGTGTCTGGTCAGGACATGGATACCCTGACTAACCTAGTGTCAGGTCAGGACATGGATACCCTGACTAACCTAGTGTCAGGTCAGGACATGGTTACCCTAAATAACCTAGTGTCAGGTCAGGACATGGTTACCCTAAATAACCTAGTGTCAGGACATGGATATCCTGACTAACCTAGTGTCCGGTCAGGACATGGATATCCTGACTAACCTAGTGTCCGGTCAGGACATGGATACCCTAAATAACCTAGTGTCAGGACATGGATATCCCGACTAACCTAGTGTCTGGTCAGGACATAGTTACCCTAAGTAACCTAGTGTCAGGACATGGATATCCTGACTAACCTAGTGTCCAGTCAGGACATGGATATCCTGACTAACCTAGTGTCAGGTCAGGACATGGATATCCTGACTAACCTAGTGTCAGGACATGGATATCCTGACTAACCTAGTGTCAGGACATGGATATCCTGACTAACCTAGTGTCCGGTCAGGACATAGTTACCCTGACTGGCCTAGTGTCTGGTCAGGACATGGTTACCCTGACTAGCCTAGTGTCTGGTCAGGACATAGTTACCCTGACTGGCCTAGTGTCTGGTCAGGACATGGTTACCCTGACTAACCTAGTGTCAGGACATGGTTACCCTGACTAACCTAGTGTCTGGTCAGGACATGGTTACCCTGATACACTCTACACATTAGCAGCCAGAATGTTATCAGATATTCTCAAACACTGCTTTATAAACAAACTGTCAATCAAAAGAGTTGCCTCACATTGTCCTTCCTGCATACTCATATAGCAGTTGTTCTGATATACCCACTTGGGTATACTCAAAAGGATATTTCACCCCGAAATCAAAGTTGATAATTTCCGTACCTCATCTGAAGTAAAGCTGAGCCCATATTCTAACCTCTGAATTAGGGGTGACCTAGTCCTGTTTACTAATCCCTTCTGCCAACCTCTGAATTAGAGGTGACATAGTCTTGTTTACTAATCCCTCCTGTCAACCTCTGCCAACCTCTCCCCTCCAGTGTTGCCAGCTACCTGGGGCGATGACATTGGGGCTGCCCTTCTGGGCCACAGTCTTCTGTAGGGTGGTGATCAGGCCGTGTTTGCCTGGCATCATATACACCTGGTTCTCCTTCCCCTTCTGGGGCTCTTCTATGGTCTGGGAAGGCATGAGCTCTGGAAGGCCCTGGACAGGGACAGAATAATGTTCTGTGTTAGCTCCATGTCAACTCTGTGTCTTTACTATTTCTTGTTGTGGACATTGTGTGAAAGCTGTACATAGATGGCTGGTGTAACACTGTTGAGTCTTCTTGCTCTTATTGGTCTATGCCTAGCAGCTGACCTACTAGATGCATTGTCATGGGAACGTTTGTCCATTGGTCATTGACCAATGTTTCTTATTTCTTCCAATAACCCTGTCCAAGTTGTCGTCCTCAGAGGAACCGTGAGAGCGGACAGGCCAAGGTGTCCCTGCCTCATCAAACACAGCTGAGTCATAAATCCAACAGGCTAACAAGCTGCTATACTGCTCGTCAGGGAGACAGGTCTGCAGGTCTAACAGGATATCTCACTGGTCATGTCTCTACCACGGGAGATTGGTGGCACCTTAATTGGGGAGGACGGGCTTGTGGTAATGGCTGGAGCAGAGTAGGTGGAATGGCATCAAATACATTAAACACATGGTTTGATGCCAATCCATTTGCTCCGTTCCAGCCATTATTATGAGCCGTTCTCCCCTCAGCAGCCTCCACTGGTCTCTACAGTATTGCCTTGTTGTTTTTTCATATAAATAGAATGTCTTTGAACATTGATTGAACATTCTGTTCTGCATTGAAATGGCATGGCCTCTAGAGGAGAGATGCAAGGCTGTGTATGTGAGAATGTGTGTATGTGTGTGTGTTCTTACATTACTGTACAAGTCGTTGACTTGGTTCTCCAGAGTGAACTGCTCCACCCTCTTCAGTCTCTCCTGGAACATGCGGGAACCACGGTTGGACGGAAGATTCAACTCTTCCATCATCACATCCTTGGGTACACTGATCTTCTTCCCCAAGTTCAGACCTCCTGGTATACACACACAAAAGCACAGAATAAAGAGTATTATATGTGTCTTTCACTAGGTCTCAAAGTGCTTTCCATTGTATGGTAACTCACCCCATTTACCACTAAATAAATAATCAAGGGAAGACATGAACTGACAACACAAACAGACAGATGCTTACAGAAACCAAGACACTGACAGCGACACAGACTCAGATCTGAGAATAGAATCAGATGTATCTGTTTGGCTGGTACAATGGCACCTCCACCTGCTGGCCCGTGTCAGTCAGAGAAACCCAGTGGATGACGCAACAGACAGAGAGAACCCGGCTTCCCCCAGCAACAGGGGTTGCCTCAGGACTCATGCCCCCTGAAGTGTTCTGTATGTGGGAGATTAAGGTCTATTCTTACTCTCAGCTCCAAACGATTGAGGATCAACTGACCTGACCCAAATCATAACCCAAACTATCATACCATCACTAATCCACAAGCCAAGTGTTGAGTTTACTACCATGGGCCAAATGTATCATAGTACTACTCTATTGCAGCTTTGGAATAGCCCTGAGAGTAGAAGGGTGTGTAATGTTTGTTGTGTTGCATGGGTAACTGGGTATATAAATAGAATGTTTGGAAGAAGCAGCTCTTATAGGAACTCTCTCTCTTTCCTCTCTCTCTTTCTTCTCTCTCTCTCTCTCTCTCTTTCCTCTCTCTCTTTCTTCTCACGCTTTCCTCTCTTTCCTCTCTCTCTCTCTCTTTCCACTCTCTCTCTCTCTCTCTCTCTCTCTCTCTCTCTCTTTCCACTCTCTCTCTCTCTCTCTTTCTTTCCTCTCACTCTCTCAGTGAAGGGTTATGTGAATTCCTGCCTTATGCCAGTTGCGTTGTCGACAGGAGTTGCCTTTTGACGGGCCTGTATAAAACCCACCAGCCGAGGGTCGATCACATTATGCTGAGTCCGATTGGTCTGATGCCAACGCCTGTAACTGGTTGCGACCATCGGAAACAGACAAACAGAACCACACGGAATGCCTCCTGTGGAATGTCCAGCCCTCTGTGAGTTCTAACCCCAGAGTTCTACTGTATAGCTTCTTGAGTTTAAGGGTTTACATCCCACGTGCTCTTAGCTGTGGAGAATGCTTTGATGCTTGATTATATTACTGATGAAGTCCAGAGCTGAGATGACAGAGACAATCCAGCCTATATTAATATATACTTATAAGTATGAGTGAGTAATAATTTCTTAACATATATCAAAGTTAGTGCTAATATGTTACAACTTGTGATTCACTTCCATTCGACAGTATATAATAATAATAATAATAATAATATGCCATTTAGCAGACGCTTTTATCCAAAGCGACTTACAGTCGTGTGTCTGAACGGTTTGCTACTGGTGTCAAACCTAATGTCCCACCTCTGGAATTCAATCAGATGTATTCAATTCCATCTCTAGGCTGAAAGACATTCAAACTCCGCTGTTCTCATAGCTTATTTCCCCCTTGGGAAGTCATTGAAGTATATTCAGTTGAAAGGTCCATAGAATTAAATAGAATAGTAATTGAGTATACAGTGGGGTCTGAAATTATTGACACCCTTGATAAAAAACATGAGCAATAATGACTGTATAAAATAAATAATTCAAATATTGAATTTTTTGTATGCTGAAGAAAATGGGGAAATTATAATATTTTATACTAATACAATTGCTCAAAGAAAGTTTTAACAAGAAATACAAAATTAATCTAAAAAAAGGTATGGGTCAAAATTATTGACACCCCTAAAGATTCTTATGAATAAAGTAGTCAAAAGTCTAGCATTTGGTCCCATATTCCTAGCACGCAATGACTACACACTTGTTGGATGCATAACGTCCCCTGTTATTGGTAATGGTGAGAGGTTAGCATGTCTTGGGGGTATGATACTTGACCCTATGTAGCTTTGTCACTCTTCATTATGTTCATCTTTATCAAGGGGGACAATAATGTCGGACCCCACTGTATCTCTAAGTTCTTACCTCCCCTGGCCTCTGAACACAATGCCTTGGCCTGCTGAATCCTCTGCTTGGCCAGGTCATCATACGCTGATTGCATCTTCCTCTGGTGTGGGACAGGTGGTGATGTGGATGGATTAAGAGAGGTTAGGTACTGGTTTAGAAATCCACTTGCTCAAATTCACCATTTAAATATTTTACAAGATCAGTAGGCTACTGTAGATTAGGCAACAGTTTGTCACTCAAACACATAAACATGCACATACACATTAATTAATCAAAGTACAGATTAAAAATAAATAAATCTGTCATGTATGTAAACATGAATAGAACTCGTGAATATGTTGTTTAAGCACAATATATTCTCTCCATCTTATTTAGAAAGTCCCTTAGAGATTAGCTTTTTTCTGGGATCGTGAACTCTGAACATCACAATGAGATCACTGCTCCAGGCATAACCCCATGCCTGCTCCCCCTCAGTTAGGCTGCTAGGTAGATAGATAACCAATAGGATGTGTGAACACAGAGAAGTAACACCTGGCATGTAGATGCCATCTTCGCCCACATCTATTGACATCTTCACACTGCACTGTGCTGGCCAACAGCCAAGTTGGAGTAAAACCTTGTAGGTTTCATAGCTCAACCCCAGATCCTGCTGGCTGTGATTCAGTCTTACCTGTCTCGCCTGTCTCCTCTCAAAGATTCACCAGTAAAGGTGATGTGAAGTGATATGAGGTGAGTATATCGCTGTGTGGTTTATCCTCCCTGAATCCGGGATGCTTCCCTATCCCACTCTGACGCTTCTCATCTGCGAGGCAACAGTTTGTATACCAGTGATCCCTCAACGCTTACCTCACTGGGTTATTTTAGCAGAGGCGAGGGGTGAGAGAGCCAGGGGCGAGGGGGGTGTAGGGAGATGAGAGGGGGGAGTAGGGGGTAAGGATAAGGATCTACATCTCTGCCCTCCTGTGTCCATGATAATAAAAATCTGATCCCCTCTGTGTGTGTGTGTTTGTTTCTGTGTGTGCTGAGAGAACAGCTGCTGACTCCGTGCAGACAGTGACACTGAGCCCTCAGACACAGAGACCAAACATTCAGCTGCTCCTTGGCATGACAAACAGATAGACACACACACACACACACATGCAGGATGATGTCAGGAGGATGCCCACCTGTGGTTCACAGTAATAGACGGCAGAATCTGTGAAGTGCCAGTCAAAGTAATGAGATCATTGGGGTGGAAAGGTCATAGGCGGGTCAAGGGTCAAAGTGCCTGACAGAGTTCTATTTTAACACCTGTGCGATTTGCCCTGCCACCTCATTCTCTGTGCTGCTCCTGTTTTCTGGGGTCACTTCACATTGACAGAAGACCATTGATGCATTGTAGAGCTTGTGCTTCCATATTGATTTCCTTACAAGTCGCTTTTCCATTCACTGCTGTCAGCAATAAGTGCTCAGACATTCATTTCATTTTCTCTAGTCTAGCTGATCACCACCACTTGAGGTGATCATCAAATGCTTACTTACTGTTTTCATGTAAACCTTTTTACTCATTATTTTATGAGATCTACTTTTCTAAAGCCGTAACCTATGTAATCCAAAGGTTGTTTTGAGACATTGATCAATAGCAGAGTTTTTCTCTGATATGGATGTTTTCTCCATAATAGTCATGAGATTGCTTATAGATTGTCTCACCATTAGAAAGTCTCTACAGGCCCCTCTCTGTCCTGACTATGTACAGACTCAGTGAGCATAGCCTTGCTATTAAGAAAGGTCACCGAAGGCAGACCTGGCTCTCAAGAGAAGACAGGCTATGTGCACACTGCCCACAAAATGAGGTGGAAACTGACCTGCACTTCCTAACTTCCTGCCAAATGTATGACCATATTAGAGACATATTTCCCTCATATTACAGAGATCCACAAAGAATTCGAAAACAAACCCAATTTTGATAAACTCACTTATCTACTGGGTGTGCCATCACAGCAGCAAGATTTGTGACCTTTTGCCACAAGAAAAGGGCAACCAGTGAAGAACAAACACCATTGTAAATACAACCCATATTTATGTTTATTTATTTTCCCATTTGTACTTTAACTATTTGCACATTGTTACAACACTGTATATATACATAATATGACATTTGAAATGTCTTTATTCTTTTGGAACTTCTGAGTGTAATGTTTACTGTTAATATTTATTGTTTATTTCACTTTTGTTTACTATCTACTTCACTTGCTTTGGCAATGTTAACATACGTTTCCCATGCCAATAAAGCTGTTAAATTGAAATTGAAATTGAATTGAATTGAGAGAGAGACAGACAAACAGAGAGACAGGGATGTACAGATACAGATTATTGACAGTACGTAATGATAGTAATTAGACATAATAAGACAATGAGATAAGGCTGTGAATGTAATCAAATCTGCTAGACAGCTATTACAGACAGCTATTGTAGACAGCTATTACAGATAGCTATTACATACTGCTATTATAGACAGCTATTATAGACAGCTATTATAGATCTGAGGTGTGCCATTCTTACCAGTCCCGTCTCCTCAAACCGCTTTTTGTCTGCACTGTCTATGACATAGATCTGGAAGATGAAAATAATGAACCAGAAACATCCACATAGTTATCCAAAAGTATCATTTCACCATAGCCATGACATATTTACTACATGCAATAATCATCCTCTAGGCCCACAACATTTATATCATGGGATTGTTGGGAATGGCTGTTCTCCTTACAGTAATGAGCTACCATCTCAGTAATACAGTAATGAATTACCATCTCAGTAATACAGTAATGAGCTACCATCTCAGTAATACAGTAATTAATTACCATCTCAGTAATACAGTAATGAGCTACCATCTCAGTAATACAGTAATTAATTACCATCTCAGTAATACAGTAATGAGCTACCATCTCAGTAATACAGTAATGAGTTACTATCTCAACATGAGGATCATAAGACAGAATGGTTGCTATACTGCAGTGGATCTGAATGACCCTGTTAGGTACTCACCAGTAAGTCTGTGTTTTCGAGGTATTTTTTCCAGAAGGGTCTGATCTTCCTCTGTCCTCCGATGTCCCATACGTTCAGCTTCATTCCATGTGAGGCAGAATACCGGACCACTGAGACTGACCCAAACTTAAGGAAAGCTTTGACTATGTACAGACTCAGTGAGCATAGCCTTGCTATTGAGAAAGGCCGCCGTAGGCAGACCTGGCTCTCAAGAGAAGACAGGCTATGTGCACACTGCCCACAAATTGAGGTGGAAACTGAGCTGCACTTCCTAACCGCCTGCCAAATGTATGACCATATTAGAGACACATATTTCCTTCATATTACAGAGATCCACAAAGAATTAGAAAACAAACCCAATTTTGATAAACTCCCTTATCTACTGGGTGTGCCATCACAGCAGCAAGATTTGTGACCTTTTGCCACAAGAAAAGGGCAACCAGTGAAGCACAAACACTATTGTTAATACAACCCATATTTATGTTTATTTATTTTCCCTTTTGTACTTTAACTATTTGCACATCATTACAACACTGTATATATAAATAATATGACATTTGAAATGTCTTTATTCTTTTGGAACTTTTGTGAGTGTAATGTTTACTGTTAATTTGTTATAGTTTATTTCACTTTTGATTATGATCTATTTCACTTGCTTTGGCAATGTAAACATATGTTTCCCATGCCAATAAAGCCCTTCAATTGAAATTGAATTGAGAGGAGAGCGAGAGAGAGAGGAGACAGAGAGAAGAGAGCGAGTGAGAGAGAGAGAGTGAAGAGAGAGATAGAGAGGAGACAGAGAGAAGAGAGAGAGAGGAGACAGAGAGAAGAGAGAGAGAGAGAGAGAGAGAGAGAGAGAGAGAGAGAGAGAGAGAGAGACAGAGAAAGATAACAGTAAAATTCCACCAACCATTCACCAAAGACACTCTCACCCCTCCCCTTCCCTCTGTCCTGTAGGAGTAAGCGTACAGTCTACCTGCACTATGCCGTGGGCCGGTTGAGGCAGATGGAGAAACAGTTCTACGACACAGACGTCCACGTGGAGGTGCTGTCTGAACAGCTCAATGGAGACTACTCACATATCACCATGAGGTCAGAAACACTTTCTAAACAAATCAACCTGCATTAGATTCAGAAACGTCAGCTTAGTAGCTCTGAAGTCATAATAACATTGATAATCATGGATTGTATCTATGTAGAGCTTTTCAAAAAGTTTCATTAGCTAGGTTTCCATCCAGTTGGCGACAGATTTTCTAAAATAAAACAATATGCGAATTTTCCAACCAGATATGTGTTTCCATCAAATTGAAGTTTTGTGGATAAAAGTCTGTGCGTGATAACATGGTGCACATAAAAATAACTTTTGCACTTTAAAAAAAATAAATGTTAAATGGGTTTCTATCGCATTTTCAACTGTACTGATGTTTTGTCACCAAAAATGTTGCGTTGTATAGCGAATGTGCCCACTATGGTATTGCAAGTGCGCCTTAGCCAACAGCTCGCAGATACAGTCCGGGTATAGCCTACATTATGAGATTATTATGGACAACATTTTTTATCCGACATGTACTTTAATGTGAGTAAAAGGGTGTATGGAAACCTGGTTATAGTTGACATGGTATGTCATGTGTAGAGTGCATGAGGAAGTGATTTTCTAAATGGCCTGTGATGTTTGTATTTCCTTCCAGGTTTAATTTCTTCCCCTTCAACATTGCCTTCAGACAGGTAAACCATCAGTCTTCTCCTCTTCCTCCCCTGAAGACCACTCTGATATCATCTGGATATTCACTACCATCAGCATTGCCTCGTTGTAAAGGAACAAATTACTTTGTTAGTAATTTGAGTAACAAAGTAATATTCATTAGCACACAATTACTGTACAGTATCAGCGTGCTAAAGCCACACTAAAAGCTATCCATGCTAAAAGCTATCCATGCTAAAAGCTATCCATGCTAAAAGCTATCCATGCTAAAAGCTATCCATGCTAAAAGCTACCATATTTCATTGATCTTCTCTGTGTGCTCTATGTAGGACATGGTGGTGCACAGCGTGGGCTCTGGCCTGGCCAGTCTTCCCTGACCTGGATAGGAAGAAGATCAACGATGCCTTCTTGCTGGCGTGCCCCCTGGTGGAGTTAACCTAAAACATGGTGAGGTGAGGTCTCTTCTGTTCCCAATCAATTCTAGTTCCTACCCCTTAAAACATCCCACAGATGTACTATTCAACTCTTGTTCAATGTCATGTACTGACATTGAATGTATTATCTGATGTAACTCCCACCCCAACGACCTGTTTGAGATCATGTCCAAGGAGCCAGTGAAGAGAGAGAGGAACCTTCATAACAGAGGCCAAAGTAAGAGGGATCCATTTAAAAGGGACAACACAACTGTGTGAATGGGAGAAACTGGAAATGAAGGACTTGGAGGACTTTTCTGATGGTACCTTCTATCCTCACCCTCGTAGGGTTTTAGAAGGTTGATGGTACTGATGTATGGCCTCGCTCCCTCAGATTCAGACTATGAGAATGCTAACCGTACGGCTGACGTAGGCGTGGAGCTCATGGCCTTCCAGTCCATCATCGGCGATGACTACAAAGGTCATGATCCTTTAGAACGGTGTTTCTCAATCCTGGTCCCGGGGACCCAAAGTGGTGCACATTTGAGTTTTTTGTCCTAGCACTACACACATGATTCAAATCAAAGGTCTAATGATGAGTTGATTAGTTGTATTGAGTGTGTTAGTGCTAGGGCAAAAATGTGCACCCCTTTGGGTCCCCAGCACCAGGATTGAGAAACACCCTCACACCAACAATGACCTAACCCTTGTATGTGTTTGTTTGACGCTATACTTCTCCCCTCTCAGATGACAACAGTGTAACACTATGGAGAGCTGGGTGATAGCAGCCGCTGTCTGAAACTGAAGTGTCAGATGAGATACATGCCTGAGTGGGAGTCCATCATCTTCCTGGGAACCCCTGTGTAAGAGACACGCACACACAAGCATGCACATACACTGGCCTAGCAGTTAGAGCGCTGGGCTAGTAACCGAAAAGGTAGCTAGTTCGAATCCCCGAGCCGACATGGTGAAAAACCTGGCGATGTGCCGTTGAGCCGTTAATAATGGCAGACCCTGGCCATGACCCCACTCTCCAAGGTTGTCTCAGGGGGAGTTGGGATATGCAAAAAAACACATTTCCAATTCACACATGTATTAATACACATACTGTATAATCACCCACATAATTATTATTATTATTATTACACACACATTAAAAATCGAATCATTGAGTTATACCATGCATTAATTCCAATATCTTCTCATTGTTTGTCTCCCTTTTCTCTTGAATAGCATTAGTTAATCACAAACACCAATTATCTGTATTTCTGATGCTCTTCAAACTTGGCAGCACTTCAAAATTAGTAAATTAGTACCTCATCATAGTACATCATTTACTATGCACATCATTAGCTGCTAATGAGGTTTTAATCAGGCAGTCTTGTTCTTGTACAGCTAACTGGCCAGTGAGTGTTTTTCTCTGGAGTACATTCCCAGGTGGATGGTGGCACCTTAATTGGGGTGGACGGGCTCATAGTAATGGCTGGAACGTCATTGATGGAATGGTATCGAACACATCAAACACATTGCTTCCATCTGTTTGATACCATTCCATTCACTCCATTCCAGCCATTATTATGAGCCGTCCTCCCCTCAGCAGCCTCCTGTGACATTACAAGTTACAACATTACTTAATCAAATTACCTTAATAAACCCAACCCCACCTCTCCCAAATACATTCAATCAATCAATCACATGTATTTTATAAAGCCCTTTTAACATCACAAAGTGTTTTACAGATTCCCAGCCTAAAACCCCACAGAGCAATGCAGATGCAGAAGCACAATCCTCTACAATAGCTTTTCCTTTCTCTCTGTCTACAGGTGTTCATTTCTGCATACCGGTAATAACATAGGCATGTTCATGTTTATCTCTAGACAGTGTTAGCTCACTGAACTAAAGCTATTAGCTCTGGGATTTTTTTTTGTGTGTGTGTGTTTCTACAATATGGAGAGTCTGTTTAAAACCGGTCTCTATATCAACGACCTGAGTATGCATGAGTCCAGTAGAGACCTGGTACTGGCAGAAACCCAGCAGTCAGAGCAACTGCAGAGAGCTCTCATACAGGTATGTACCATATGATGCTGTAGATACTGTATGGATATATTCCAAATGGCACCCTATTTCCTATATAGTGCACTACTATGGGTCCTGGTCAAAAGAAGTGCGCTATAAAGGGAATAGGGTGCAAACTAGTGGCACAGCGGTCTAAGGCGTTCCAAGGTACTGCATCTCAGTGCTAGAGGCGTCACTGGTTAGATTCCAGGCTGTATCACAATCCGGCCGTGATTGGGCGTCCCATATGGCGGCGCACAATTGTCCCAGCGTCATCCGGGGTAGGCAGTCATTGTAAATAAGAATTTGTTCTTAACTGACTTGCCTAGTTAAATAAAGGTCTATGGTCAGGTTGACTCAGTGCTGTTACTCCTCTATGTCGCCCCCCTGTGGTGAGTGGGGGAATAGAATAAGTCCAGTAAAGTGGAGGACAGTATGAAGATGCTGGACTATGAAAAAGACAGATGATCTGCTATACAGGATGATCCCTAAACCCGTGGCCAAGAGATTACGCAAGGAAGAGCCTGCTGTCAACACCTTTGAGGTCAGGACTAACTGAGTGTGTGTGTGATCCACCAGCTCTGACTCTTCTCTATGTCCAATCTACAGGACATTAGTAACATGACTTGATAACTCTGTCCAGTGTATTTTGGCCTGTCTTCCTGTCCCACCTGTCTTCCTCTCTCACCTGTCTTCCTGTCCCAGCTGTCTTCCTGTCCCACCTGTCTTCCTGTCCCACCTGTCTCCCTGTCCCACCTGTCTTCCTGTCCCACCTGTCTTCCTCTCCCGTCTGTCTTCCTGTCCCACCTGTCTCCCTGTCCCACCTGTCTCCCTGTCCTGTCCTGCCTGCCTGTCTTCCTGTGTCACCTCGAAGTGTTTCCTGATGTGACCATCCTGTTCAGTGATGTGGTGGGCTTGACTCGTATCTGCAGCCAATTCACGGCCATGCAGGTGGTCTCCATGCTCAACACCATGTATACTCAGCGAGAAGCAAGGTGTGTGTGTGTGTGTGAGAGAGAGAGAGAGAGAGAGAGAGAGAGAGAGACGATGTCTCCCGGGCTGAGACCATCAGTGTGCGTTTGATTGTATGGTGTGTGTATTATATGTGTAACTTGTGTGTGTGTAATAGGTTAACCCCTGGCTCTCCTCCTAGGTTGAGACCATAGGTGATGCGTACATGTTGGTGGCAGGGGCTCCAGAGAAGACCACACCCACAACATCTGTGACATGGCCCTGGACATGGTGCGCTCCATAGACCACCTCAAAGACGCCTCCAACGGCAACAACATACTGATCAGAGTGGGTAAGTGGAGAGGGGATGGTGTGTGTGTGTGTGTGTGTGTGTGAGACCTGTGTGTTTCAGGGATCCACTCTAGCATGGTGATGGCTGGGGTATTGGGTCATAAAAGGCCACGCTACAGTCTCCATGGTGACACAGTCCACACTGCATGAGAGAGAGAGAGAGAGAGAGAGAGAGAGAGAGAGAGAGAGAGAGAGAGAGAGAGAGAGAGAGATAGAGAGAGCGAGAGAGAAGAAAACTAGTAGCCGATCTGAGATCTCTATAATCTCTCTCTCTCGCTCTCCTCTCTCTCTCTCTCTCTCCTCCTCTCTCTCCTCTGCTCTTCTCTCTCTTTGCGCTCTCTCTCCGCTCTCCTCTCACCTCTCTCTCTCTACCTAACCCATCATTACTGAAATTTCTGCTTTTATTTCCAAATCACTGCCATCAAAACATTATTATATTCTGTAATCAGATGTTTTTATAACATGATACTCCCTGCTGTTGCACCAATTTGTTGCAAAGTCTTCTGGGAGAATCTGAGAACGAGAGACCAACTATATAATTATGTGAACTATTTTTATCAACATCACCCTAAACTGTTATTCACAAACCATAGCTTGGTGTTGGGGCTCTAACTACCATCACTGGGTCTGTCTTTGAGTCTGTGCATTAAATTAAATACTAAAGTCAATGACTGCTTAATGTTTGTGAGCCAGCTAGTCGATCATCAGGAGGCAGCAGTGACTCACCTTCTCACCAAAGTGTCACGGGTGTTGCAATGGTGTGGTGGGGAATCAGGCGCAGAAGCAGATGCACAGTCCAACAAGACTTTACTTGATCAAAGTAATCCAAACGGCGGCCTGAGGCCAAACAGACGCACACAGGCGTCACACACTAGCGCACAAACACAGAGTGCAATACTCTCCTCAACCGAGGAGGAAACAAATAGAACTGGCGTACCGAAAACACAGGTTACGCACAAACACCTGACACGAAACAATCATACACAACACTAGACAAACACAACGAGAAACTTATAGGACACTAATTACGTAAAACAGAAACAGGTGTGGAAACAAACAGACAAAAGCAAACGAACATGAAACATCTATCGGTGGCAGCTAGAATTCCGGAGACGATGAACGCCGAAGCCTGCCCGAACAAGGGAGAGAGGCAGCCTCGGCCGAAACCGTGACAGTACCCCCCCCTTGACGCGCGGCTCCAGACGTGCGCCGACTCCGGCCTCGGGGACGACCAGGGGGACGCGGCGCAGGGTGCGCAGGGTGCGTCGGATGCCTCCGATGGAACTCCGTCAGGAGCGACGGGTCCAACACGTCTCTCCTCGGCACCCAGCACCGCTCCTCCGGACCGTACCCCTCCCACTCCACTAGATACTGGAGACCCCCCATCCGACGTCTCGAATCCAAGATGGATCTCACGGAGTACGCCGGTGCCCCCTCGATGTCCAACGGGGGCGGAGGAGTCTCCAAGATCTCATTTTCTTGGAGTGGGCCCGCTACCACCGGCCTGAGAAGGGACACATGGAACGAGGGGTTAATACACTTATACTCCACAGGTAGCTGTAATCTATAACATACCTCGTTCAACCTTCTCAGGACTTTAAATGGCCCTACAAACCGCCGACCCAGTTTCCGACAGGGCAGGCGGAGGGGCAGGTTTCTGGTAGAGAGCCAGACTCGATCACCAGGTGCGTACACCGGTGCCTCACTGCGGTGGAGATCAGCGCTCGCCTTCTGACGTCGGAGGGCCCGCTGCAGGTGGACGTGTGCAGCGTTCCAAGTCTCCTCCGAGCGCCGCGCCCACTCATCCACCGCAGGAGCTTCGATCTGGCTCTGCTGCCAGGGTGCCAGAACCGGCTGGTAACCTAACACACATTGAAATGGAGTTAGGTTAGTGGAGGAATGGCGTAGGGAATTCTGGGCCATCTCGGCCCAGGGAACGTACCTCGACCACTCCTCCGGCCGGTCCTGGCAGTATGTTCTGAGAAACCTACCCACATCCTGGTTTACGCGTTCCACCTGCCCATTGCTCTCCGGGTGGTAACCCGAGGTGAGGCTCACCGAGACCCCCAACCGCTCCATAAACGCTCTCCAGACTCTGGAGGTGAATTGGGGACCCCGATCAGCCACAATGTCCTCGGGTACCCCGTAGTGCCGGAACACATGGGTAAACAGTGCCTCGGCAGTTTGCAGGGCCGTAGGAAGACCCGGCATGGGGAGCAAACGACAGGCCTTAGAGAACCGGTCCACAACGACCAGGATGGTAGTATTCCCTTGGGAGAGGGGAAGGTCTGTTATAAAGTCCACTGAGAGGTGGGACCATGGCCGTTGTGGAACGGGCAGGGGTAGCAACTTACCCCTAGGGAGATGTCTAGGCGCCTTACACTGGGCGCACACCGAGCAGGAGGAAACATAAACCCTCACATCCCTAGCCAACGTGGGCCACCAGTACTTGGCACTAAGACAGTGCACTGTCCGGCCGATACCCGGATGTCCAGAGGAGGGTGACGTGTGAGCCCAATAGATCAATCGATCCCGAACCTCAAGCGGAACGTACTTCCGACCCTCCGGGCACTGGGGTGGACTAGGGTCGGTGCGTAACGCCCGCTCGAGTTCAGCATCGACCTCCCACACTACCGGTGCCACCAGACACGACTCAGGCAGTATGGGAGTGGGCTCCACGGACCTCTCCTCCGCGTCATACCACCGAGACAGCGCATCTGCCTTGCCATTCTGTGACCCAGGGATGTACGTGATCTTAAAAGTAAACCTGGTCAAGAACATACTCCATCTTGCCTGGCGAGGGTTCAGCCTCCTCGCCGCCCGGATGTACTCCAGGTTACGGTGGTCCGTCAAAATGAGGAAAGGGTGTTGAGCCCCCTCAAGCCAGTGCCTCCACACCTTTAGAGCCTGTACCACGGCTAACAGCTCCCTGTCCCCTACGTCATAGTTCCGCTCCGCCGGACTGAGCTTCTTAGAATAAAAAGCACAGGGGCGGAGTTTAGGTGGCGCGCCAGATCGTTGTGAAAGCACGGCTCCTAAACCGGCCTCCGACGTGTCCACCTCTACTTGGAACGGCAAAGAGGGATCCGGATGCGCCAGCACCGGGGCCGAGGTAAACAGGTCCTTCAGCCTCCCAAATGCCCTGTCCGCCTCGGCCGACCACTGCAGACGCACCGGACCCCCCTTCAACAGAGACGTGATGGGAGCTGCCACCTGTCCAAAACCCCGGATAAACCTCCTGTAGTAATTTGCAAACCCCAAAAACTGCTGCACCTCCTTCACAGTGGTTGGTGTTTGCCAATTACGCACGGCCGACACCCGGTCTACCTCCATCTTCACCCCTGACGCAGACAACTGATAACCCAAAAAGGAGACCGACTCCTGGAAAAACAGACACTTCTCTGCCTTCACATACAGGTCGTGCTCCACCAGCCTCCGCAACACCCTGCGCACCAGGGCCACATGCTCGACACGGGTAGGTGAGTACACGAGAATGTCATCAATGTACACCACCACCCCCTGCCCCTGCATGTCCCTGAAGATCTCATCCACAAAAGATTGGAAAACTGATGGAGCGTTCATCAACCCGTATGGCATGACCAGATACTCGTAATGGCCCGAGGTGGTACTAAAGGCTGTTTTCCATTCATCATCCTCCCTGATGCGCACCAAGTTGTACGCGCTCCTGAGATCTAGTTTCGTGAAGAAACGCGCCCCATGCAACGACTCAGTCATGGTCGCAATCAGCGGGAGTGGATAACTATACTTCACCGTAATCTGATTGAGACCACGGTAATCGATGCATGGGCGCAAACCACCATCCTTTTTCTTCACGAAAAAGAAACTTGAGGACGCGGGGGAAGTGGACGGCCGTATGTATCCTTGTCTCAGCGATTCGTCTATGTAAATCTCCATAGCTTTCTTCTCCTCCTGAGACAGAGGATACACATGGCTCCGTGGGAGCGCAGCTCCTGCCTGGAGGTTTATCGCACAATCCCCCTGCCTATGGGGTGGCAACCGCGTCGCCCTCGCCTTACTAAACGCAATAGCCAAATCCCCATACTCAGGTGGAACGTGCAATGCGGGCACCTGGTTTGGACTCTCCACCGAGGTAGCCCTACGGAAACGCCCAAACATCTACCCACACACTGAGCAGACCACTCCATCAGAGCCCTCTCCTGCCACGAAATCACTGGGTTATGGGTACTCAACCAGGGCATGCCCAGCACCACCGGATACGCAGGAGAGTCAATCAGGAACAGCTGAATCATCTCCTGATGATCCCCCTGCGCACACATCCTAAGTGGCGCCGTGACCTCCCTGATTAAGCCCGTACCCAACGGACGACTATCTAGGGCGTGAACGGGAAAAGGAACATCAACAGGAATGAGGGGAATCCCTAACGCTACACAAAACTTTTTATCAATAAAATTCCCAGCCGCGCCTGAATCTACCAGCGCCTTATGCTGGGAATGAGGTGCTACCTGTGGGAAACGTACAGGCATACAAAAATGGGCAACAGAGAGCTCTGGGTGAGTGGGGCACCTACTCACCTGGAGGGAATCCCCAGTGCGGGACCTGTCGTCATCTCCCCTAGGAGGCCATCCCCAGCACCTAGCCGCGGTGTGTCCTCCCCGACCACAGTTGGTGCAGTGGATGGACCCCCTAGCCTGCCGACTCCTCCTCTCTCTAGCGCCAGCGCCCCCGAGCTCCATAGGACAAGGCTCGGAGGTGCTGGAGGGTGGAATGGACAGACCCTCCGCAGGACGTCCGCGGGTAGCCAGCAGGGTATCCAGCCTGATGGACATATCCACCAGCTGGTCGAACGTGAGGCTGGTGTCCCTACACGCCAGCTCCCGACGGACGTCCTCTCGTAGGCTGCATCGGTATAGATCGATGAGGGCCCGATCATTCCACCCTGCATCTGCCGCTAGAGTACGGAATTCAAGCGCGAATTCCTGGGCACTTCTCCTCCCCTGCCGGAGGAAGACCAGACGCTCCCCCGCCGCTTTCCCCTCCGGGGGATGGTCAAACACCGCCCTGAAGCGGCGGGAGAACTCGGTGTACGTAATCGTCGTGGCGTCGATCTTCCTCCACTCCGCGTTGGCCCACTCCAACGCTTTTCCGGCCAGGCAGGAGATCAGGGCGGACACGCTCTCGTGCCCTGAAGGTGCCGGGTGCACGGTGGCCAGGTATAGCTCTACCTGGAGCAGGAATCCCTGACACCCAGCCGCGGTCCCGTCGTAGGCCCTCGGGAGAGATAGTCGGACTCCTCGAGGTTCCGGCGCTGGAATGGGCGGGCTGGCCGATGGTGCTGGCAGGGCGGGCGGCGGTGGAGGCGAACCCCAGCCTCGGAGTGTGGTAATCACCTCCTGCAGGGCGTTCCCCATCTGCAGGAGCTGCTCTTGCTGGTCCCGAACCTGGGCTTCCAGCCTCGTCTGGGCTGCTTCGGCTCCTGCTGATTCCATTGTAGGTGTATGATTCTGTCACGGGTGTTGCAATGGTGTGGTGGGGAATCAGGCGCAGAAGCAGATGCACAGTCCAACAAGACTTTACTTGATCAAAGTAATCCAAACGGCGGCCTGAGGCCAAACAGATGCACACAGGCGTCACACACGAGCGCACAAACACAGAGCGCAATACTCTCCTCAACCGAGGAGGAAACAAATAGAACTGGCGTACCGAAAACACAGGTTACGCACAAACACCTGACACGAAACAATCATACACAACACTAGACAAACACAACGAGAAACTTATAGGACACTAATTACGTAAAACAGAAACAGGTGTGGAAACAAACAGACAAAAGCAAACGAACATGAAACATCTATCGGTGGCAGCTAGAATTCCGGAGACGACGAACGCCGAAGCCTGCCCGAACAAGGGAGAGAGGCAGCCTCGGCCGAAACCGTGACACAAAGGCTCTCTGCCAGTCTGCAACTTTAATGATCAACATCACAGCTGTCCATTAAAACCAACACTTCTTATCACTTACTCACACAGCATGTGTACGTGTGTTTGTGTCTGTGGGTGTTTCTCAAAATGCATACTACTGTGCTCCGAGCACGCAAATTGGAGCACGGGAGGGTCGGAGTATGAAAATGTATGCACTCACTAACTGTAAGTCGCTCTGGATAAGACCGTCTGCTAAATGATTAAAATGTAAAATGAGTATGACTCCAAATTGAAGTATGCGAAACGGAGCACGGAGGGCACTTCTCTAAATGCGTACATATCGATGCAAGCTTCAACGGAAAGTATGCAAAGAAATATGACGCAACCACGTACAAAATTACGCAACATTTCTTGAAATCAATGGCAGCCATTATTTGAGCTGAAGTTTACTCCAATTAGGGGAGCGGTGGTAGGGTTAGGGGAACATAATAAAGGAAAATATATAATTTCCAATCCCCCATATATTTTTTGGGTAATATAATAATATGCCATTTAGCAGACGCTTTTATCCAAAGTGACTTACAGTCATGTGTGCATACATTTTTACGTATGGGTAAATCTATATATACAGTGGGGAGAACAAGTATATACACTGCGATTTTGCAGGTTTTGCTACTTACAAAGCATGTAGAGGTCTGTATTTTTTTATCATAGGTACACTTCAACTGTGAGAGACGGAATCTAAAACAAAATTCCAGAAAATCACATTGTATGATTTTTAAGTAATTAATTTGCATTTTATTGCATGACATAAGTATTTGATCACCTACCAACCAGTAAGAATTCCGGCTCTCACAGACCTGTTAGTTTTTCTTTAAGTAGCCCTCCTGTTCTCCACTCATTACCTGTATTAACTGCACCTGTTTGAACTCGTTACCTGTATAAAAGACACCTGTCCACACACTCAATCAAACAGACTCCAACCTCTCCACAATGGCCAAGACCAGAGAGCTGTGTAAGGACATCAGGGATAAAATTGTAGACCTGCACAAGGCTGGGATGTGCTACAGGACAATAGGCAAGCAGCTTGGTGAGAAGGCAACAACTGTTGGCGCAATTATTAGAAAATGGAAGAAGTTCAAGATGACGGTCAATCACCCTTGGTCTGGGGCTCCATGCAAGATCTCACCTCGTGGGGCATCAATGATCATGAGGAAGGTGAGCCCACTGTATATAGGTATATATTTACCCAAAAATATATGGCTTCTACTTCCAGCTTATACATGCTATAAACATTTTAAGGACACAATGTATTTTACAATAGTTTAATTTTTTTATTTTTTTGTCCCATCCTTCAGCGACCCTCAACCTCTCCCATCTATCTCTGAAGACCATCCAATTTTGATTTCTATTTGCCATATATTTTTAACTGTACTTTTTCAATATTTCAATATTTTATCTTGATACGTTACTAAATACATGCTGTGTTAATTTTGGCATGTTTACCTGTAGGTCGCAAACCCATAATAAGGCAATAGGTCTAACTGGCTAGCAACTAGTGCTGTTAGCTAGCCAGATAGCCACAAAGAATTGTTAGCTAGCTACCAATGAAGAATTGACATCGATCTTGCATAATATTAGTTTTCGGTCATTTTTGCCTGTTTAACTAGCTGGCTATCTAAGTTATTACGATTCACATAACTAGCTGATAATTATGAAGTCAAACGTTTACTTTGTGTATATCTTGGAAGGAGGTTCAGTGAATGGGGAGATGCAACGTGAGGTAATACAGTAGGAGGAGTGCGAGTGCTTCTCAAATGTATTGTTTTATGCATTCTCCACACTCTCGTCCTCACAAGAACGTACTCAAGAGAACATGGTCGGAGAATGCACTTTGAGCATGAGAGTGTGGAGCACGGTAGTATGCATATTGAGAAACCCCGCCTGTGTGTTTGTATGCGTGCTTCTGCATCCTGTGTGCTCCCGAGTGGCGCAGTGGTCTAAGGCTGTGCCACTAGAGATCCTGGTTCGAATCCAGGCTCTGTCGTAGCTGGCCGCGACCGGGAGACCCATGGGGCGGCGCACAATTGGCCCAGCGTCGTCCAGGGTAGGGGAGGGAATGGCCGGCAGGGATGTAGCTCAGTTGGTAGAGCATGGCGTTTGCAACGCCAGGGTTGTGGGTTCAATTCCCACGGGGGGCCACATCTCGTATGAAAACATCTTGTATGAAAAAAATATAAAATATATATATATATATATATATATATATATATATATATAATAAGTATGCACTAACTGTAAGTCGCTCTGGATAAGAGCGTCTGCTAAATGACTGTAATGTAAATGTAGTGTGATTTGGCGTCCTCTTTCTTAATTTAAATTTGAACTGAAATCCCTCTCTCCCTCCCAGGGTAATGTAGAGATTGAGACATAATGGCTGAAGGGGAAGAGGGATAAGAATGGGAGCACCCAGGCTGCCTGTCCCCAGTTTGAGACCCAGACCACCAGCAAGGCAATCAGTAAAGTCAATAACTGTGCTCTAAGGAAATAGTTGCCCCCAGGACATCTGATTAGCTGGCCTGAGGGCAGATATGATTTAATTTGATTGAAAATGGGAACAGTTAGGTTGTGAAGAAATCAAATGAAACATGACAACTGCTCATAGCAGATAGTCAATATAATAGTATTTCCGCTCTCAGCCCATATAACAAATCTTACAGTATGAGCTTTGTGCCTGGACTGCTCATGGCTCAACTTAACTGTTACCTCAATGCCTTCCTAAACCTTGAGGATCTTTATTTTCATATCATCAATCTATCCCTCTCTCCTTGCTCCAGGTGTTCCCGTCGTTGGCAAGAGAAGATGAGGATGATGTGAAGTCCATCCGTTCCCACCGTATCAAGATGGAGATCTCAGGCCATCACTCCCTGGTGGAGTCTCTGGAGGAATGTTGTGCTGAGGAGATGTCTCTGAGCAAGGTGAGAAGGAGGAGTCACTACTGCATTGTCACCTATGGAGTTCACTTTAGACTGAAGGATGGAGTTCCTGTTTTACTCTGACACATTATCTCTCTGTTTAATTCTTTTCTGCTCTCTCACTCCCCTCTCTCCTTCTGTCCTCTTTCCTCTTGCCCTTTCTTTCTCTCCCTCTCTCTTTTCTCCCTCTCCCCCCCTCTCTCCCAGTCTCACTATAAGGCTCCTCTCCACCATAACAACGCTGTACAGGACAGTTACATTGAGCTGGACTCTCCGGAGTTTGACGTGCATGACTCCATCATGGCATCTCCAGACTGCTCAGAGAAGAGCACCATGCGCTCCATGTCCTGAACCCTTGGTCACCATGGCAATATAGGCCTAATGATAGCCTCTAGCCACTTAGGGCTATGGCTGAAGCTGTGGCTGAAGCTGTGGCTGAAGCTGTGGCTGATAATAATGATAGTTACACTGTAATAACTTTATAAAAAAATGCTTGTATATATTTGTTTCATTTGTTTCAAAACGCTCAAGGCTAGGTTTAACCGTGAACATTGTTTTATTGCAGAGTGCTGTTGTGCCTTATTTGTCCATGTCATGGTAATGTATGTACGATTAAAGTAGTCCAGGCTATTGTGTGATAATGCCAGAAGAAAATCTGCGACCATGTACATTGACTGTATCTGTATAAAGATTAGTCCTGTTTAATAATATCGCGTTGACCTCACATAAAAGAGAATGTATATGTTTCCTACACATGAAATAGAGCACACTCATACCTAGTTCATTTGTAACTCAAACTGTATTCTACCTTTCAATGTTAGCTACTGCTGCATGACTGAGTCCACTCTGTTTTTTTAGCCTTTCTCATGCATAGTCTACTGCACTAACTAAACAGAACAACATGTCAACACTGTGTGGAAATGAAACAAGGTGACGGCATAGCTGGAGAGAGTCTAATGGAGCTTGTTTTCATTGAAATACACACATAAAATGCATTGGCATTTGGGTTACAATACAGTCACACACAAGAAGAGACTGCATACAGGCAAGTCAAGACAGTCAAGCATACAGTACACTGAGTATGTTTGTGTATCTGTGTGTGTATATCTGTGTGTGTGTGTCTGTGTGTGTTTCTGTGTGTGTGTGTGTATCTGTGTGTATTTGTGTTTGTGTATCTGTGTGTGTGTTTGTGTAGCTGTGTGTGTTTGTGTGTGTGCTTTAGTGGAAAAAAGTGTCATAATGCATGGAATGGGAACGCCGACACCAGCAGTGGGGAAAACAACATTCAATATGACATGAAAACAGAACACCCAAAATTAGTGAAAACAACGATCA